GGGGGCTACTCCTCCAGCATGGGGACTGCATATGCCCAGTCATGCAGGAAGGGATTTGTCTCAGTGTCGCAGGGTCCATGCAGGCAGGCTGGAGCTGCTTGTCAGCCAAGGTTCTCCCACCACACAAAGGACTCACTGAAGCAGTAGGCTTAGGCTTCCTAAGTGGTGCCTGAGGCATCTGACACTCCTCCTCTGTTCAGCTCCCATGTTAAGCAGGAGGCATGGTGGACCCCAGTCATAGGGCAAGGCATGCAGGATAATCCGTTTCCTCCCCAGCCTGGCAGGGGTAATGCAAAGCCTATTACTGGAAGGCTGGTTCCTGAGAACACCTGACTTCATGCATCAGAGTAATTAGGATGCTGTCAGTTGCAGAAACCTGGGATTGAAAGGACAAGGTTTCCGCTGCACCTGCTCTCTGGTGATATGTCTCTGCACAGACTCTGAGCATCTCCCTGTTGAGCCCAGAAGTCTGCAGTGGAAGAGAGAGAACCTTACCAATCAAACTGTCTGTAACTTTTGTTTCCCTCCTAAAAAGCAGTGTTCCCTTGGGCTGCCTCTATCCCTTCTTCACTTCTTCCCAGTAGTGTGAATTGTATTGGGACACCTAGCTTAATCTCTGAGAAGATGGATCATATTTTTGAGTATACCCTGTTTGATTGAGTTGGTAGATGCTGTAATGAGCTATAGATTTGTTTGTTTGTTTGTTTGTTTGTTTCATTTCAGCATATTACAGGGGTATAAATGTTTAGGTTACATATACTGCCTTTGCCCCACCTAAGTCAGAGCTTCAAGTGTGTCCACTCCCAGGCAGTGTACACTGCACCCATTCGATGTGTATATACCCATCCCTTCCTCCCTTCTCCCATCTGCCTGACACCCAATTAATGTTATTACTATATGTGCACTTATGTGTTGATCAGTTAATACCAATTTGATGGTGAGTGTATGTGGTGCTTGTTTTTCCATTCTTGTGATACTTCACTTTGTAGAATGGGCTCCAGCTCTATCTAGGATAATACAAGAGGTGCTATATCACCATTGTTTTTTGTGGCTGAGTAGAACTCTGTGGTATACATATACCATATTTTATTAATCCACTCATATATTGATGGGCACTCGGGTTGTTTCCACATATTTGCAATTGTGAATTGTGCTGCTATAAACATTCTAGTGCAGATGTCTTTCTCTAATCATCAGGGGAATGCAAATCAAAACCACAATGAGATATCACTTATCTCCAGTGAGAATGGCCTTCATCAAAAAATCCCAAAACAATAAATGTTGGCATGGATGTGGAGAGATAGGAACACTCATACACTGCTGGCTGGACTGCAAACTAGTACAACCTCTGTGGAAAGTAATATAGAGATACCTCAAAGAGCAACAAGTAGAAATACCATTTGATCCAGCAATCCCATTACTGGGCATCTACCCAAAAGAACAAAAGACATTCTATAAAAAAGACATCTGCACTCGAATGTTTATAGCAGCACAATTCACGATTGCAAAAATGTTAAATCAATCCAAGTGCCCATCATTTCATGAGTGACTTAATAAAATGTGGCATATGTATACCATGGGATATTACTCAGCCATAAAAAACGATGAATTAATGCCTTTTGCAACAATTTGGTTGGAACCAGAGACAATTATCTAAAGTATCTAAAGAATGGAAAAACAAACACCACATGTACTTGCTATTAAATTTGAACTAATCAATGAGTACACATGTGCACAGAGAGAAGTTAAACTCAGTGGAAATCAAGTAGGGGGAAGTGGGGAGGAAGGGATGGGCACAAACCTACCTAATGGGTACAATGATCACTATCTGGGTGATGGGCACACTTATAACCCTGACTCAAGCATAACAAAAGCAATTGATGTAACCAAGAACATTTGTATCTTCATAATATTTTGAAATAATAAGAAAACTACTACATATTTAAAAAATAAAATGCTTCTGCACAGGAAACTGTTACAAAATCAAAACACAACCTACATAATGGGAGAAAATATTTGCAATCTATTCAAGTTACATGGGATTAATAACCAGCATATATAAGGAACTCTAGTACCTCAATATTTTTTAAAATGTCATTAAAAAATGATCGGAAATTCTGAACAGACATTTCTCAAAAGAATACATACAAATGGCCAACACGTATATGAAAAAAATGTTTACTGTCATTAATCATTAAGGAAACACATATCAAAAGCGCAATGAGATATCGTCTTACCCCCATAAAAATGGCTATTATCAAAAAGAGACAGGAAATAACAAATGCTGGTGGGGATGTGGAGGAAGGGGTATGCTTGGACACTGTTGGCTGGAATGTAAATTAGTATAGCCATAATGAAAAAGAGTATAGAGGTTTCTCAAAAAACAAAACAAAACAAAAAATAGAAATTCCATATTATCCAGCAATCTCACTCCTGGGCATATATCCAAAAGAAATAAAATCAACATATCAGTGAGCTATCTGCACTCCCATGTTAATTGCAGCACTGTTTATGATAGTCAAGATATGGACTCAACCTAAGTGTCCATCAATGGGTGAATGGATAAAGAAAATGTGGTGTGTGTGTGTGTGTGTGTATGTGTGCGTGTGTATTGACAAATATTACATGCTCTCACTCATACATAGAAACTAAAAAGGTGATCTCATGGAGGCAGTGAATAGATTGGTGGTTACCAGAGGGTGGGAATAGTAGTGGGAAAGGGGCAATAAGGAGAGGTTGGTTAATACCTACAAAATACACTTTGACAGAAGAAATAAGGTTTAGTGTTTGGTAGCACAATAAGTTGACTATAGTTAACAATAATGTATTACATAAGTCAAATATTAGATTTGGAATGTTCCCAACACAAAGAAGTGATAAATTTCTGAAGTGATGGATATACCAATTTTCCTGATTTGATCATTACACCTTGTATGCTTGTACGAAAATATCACATGTGCCACATAAATACATAGAACTATTATGTATTCAGACATCTGCACTTAAATGTTCATAGCAACACAATTCACAATGGCAAAGATGTGGAAACAACCCAAGTGCCCATCAATACATGAGTGGATTAATAAAATATGGTATATGTATAGCATGGAGTTCTACTCAGGCACAAAAAACAATGGTGAGATGGCACCTCTTGTATTATCCTAAATAGAGCTGGAGCCCATTCTACTAAGTGAAGTATCACAAGAATGGAAAAACAAGCACCACATGTACTCACCATCAAATTGGTATTAACTGACTTAACTGACCAACACTTAAGTGCACATATAGTAGTAACATTCATCGAGTGTTGAGCAGGTGGGAGGGCGGAGGAAGGGATGGGAATATTCACACCTAATGAGTACAGTGCACACAGTCTGGGGGATGTATAGGCTTGAAGCTCTGACTTGGGTGGGGAAAAGGCAATATATGTAACCTAAATATTTGTACTCCCATAATATGCTGAAATAAAAAAAAAATTTTAAAAACATGCAAAAGTGGCTGAAAAAATACTATCTCTGTCACCATATGAGAATAAGGAAGGATATAGCTCTCAAAGTTGCTGAAAGCCATATTGCCACATGAATTTTAGGATGAAACTGACATTAGAGAGAAAATAGAAGACTGAAAGAAAACTAGGTTTTTGGTGACAACACTGAAAGTAACTTTTTTGCTAGGGCTGCCATAACAAAATAGGCCAGACCTGGTGGCTTAAACAACAAAAATTTATTGTCTCACACTTCTCAAGGCAATAAGCCAAAATCAAGTTATCAGCATGGTTGATTTTTTTTCCTAAAGCATCTCTTCTTGACTTATAAATGGCCATCTTCTCACTTCAACTTCACATAGTCTTTCCACTTTGTGTATTTGTGTCCTAATCACAACTGTTATAACAACACCAGTCATAGTGTATTAAGTGCAATACATATGACCACATTTTACTTTAATTACCTCTTTAAAGACCATTATCTCCATTCATCATCACATTCTAAGGTACTGGGGGCTAGGACTTCAACATATGAATTTTAAAGAGACCCAATACAGCCCACCACACTGATCACCAAGATTAAGCTAACCTAAGAACTTTTAAAATGTTTTCAATACATTAGCCAATAAATTCTTTTTATTGTACACCCGTTTGAGTTTTTCCAACTATGTGTAACTGAAACATTCTACTTTGGTACAGCATCCTAACATTATTGATTATTTTCAGAATAAGATATTATAAGATAGTGTGCAAAAATTATAAGTAACAAAAAGGATACAAATAAAATTAAAAATGATGTCATTTTATGAAAAACTTGATAAGATTTGTTAGAAATCATAATCACGTTTAAGAATAACACTTTGAGCCTAAAATAAGGCACTACTTCCTCAAACTAGGTCTCCAAATCTAAAACATGCCTACACTCTGCTTCAGAGAAACTCCTAATTGGTGTATTCACCAGTGTGTACATATACACAGAAAATTATGTCTATGCGCTATGTGATTGACTAGAGAGGTTTGTATTTAGAATTATGGGGATGGATAAGAATTTTTGTAAATGTATATAGATGTTTATTAATGTATGTATTATGTATGTATACATATAGTTGTGTATAAACAATGGAATTATGTCTCCGTATATGTATGAATTGGCATTTCTGTATTAATTTCTCTATCTGCAAAAAAAATGTAAGGAATGTGTGAGAGATGGAAAACAGATGGAGCAAGAGAGCAGAGGGGTGGAGCTAGCTAGAGAGCCTGTAGAATCCAGTTAAAAGAGGCAGAAAGACAGAAAGGGCCACCTACAGGTCTCAGTGCTCTGAATTTAGTAAAGGGAAGCAGCAGCCATAGAGAACCTACACGACAAGAAAGGCAGGTTGCTCTGTGTTTAGCAAGAAGGGGAGGCATCAATACAAACGGGAAACAAAGACCCTAGTCCTATACGCAAAGAAGAACCAGACTGCGGTAGCAGCAGCATCAGCAGCGGCTAGTAGAAGCCCAATGTGGCAGAGGGGCCGCCGCCACCGACAGGGAGACGGAGGGACCGCGAGCCAAGCGCTGGGGACGCCGCCGCCACCAGCAGTCCTCTTGCCTGCCTCGCAGCCCTCCTAGACACGCTGCTCGCCTACGGATCCTACCCTCCCAACTCTTGCAAGCACTCACTCCGCTGGTCGCCCACTGATCCCCCTTCCCCATAGGCTCACAGGGGAGGCAGCAGCAAGGTGTCCGATTCCAGGATTCCAGCACGTGAGGCCCGCGATCCCCGCCGGAGGACGCCAGGCAGGGAAAGGCCATTGGTGGGCGCCAGAATGGAGAGGGGGGATGGGAAGGAATCCGGCAGGAGACATGGGGTAGGGGTGGGCACCGGGCAAGTGTGGGGTGGGAGAGTGCGGTGGGCAACAGGAAAAGGGGTTGGAGTTAGGGGACAGATAAGGATTCGAAGGTGAGTGCGTGGGGAAGCAAGGGAGGTGGGTGCCAGAGGAGCACTTGGGGTAGGCAGGGGGCTCGTGGGCAGCAGGCTGGGGCGCTCAGGGCAGGAGGGCAGTGGGTGCCGGCCAAGGTACTGGAGGGATAGGTGCTTTGCAGGGGATCAGGAGTGGACAACAGTGGCAGTGGTCACTGAGCAAGGAGGAGGTAGCCCGCCCCTTCTGCAGAGTTCCTAACACAGCCACCTCTACCACCACTCTAGCCCTTCCCACAGCCCAAAGGAAGCTAAGAGGGAGAGCACCGCAGGCACACAGCCAGGATTTCCAGCATTGCTGCCAGGCTCATGGGGGAAATCTAGGCGCTGGTGCAGGATACATAGCGACATGGCTACAGGGGAAAGTTCACCTTATGGCATACTGGATATTTCTCTTTATCCTCTGCCTCCCCCCCCCCCACCAGCAGGCATGAAGACCCCCAACGCACAGGAGGCCAAAGGGCAACAAACTAGGGCAGCTGTGGGACGGGCCACTGGGTCTGCAAACTTGACAAAGAAAAAAGCCCCCCAAAAGAAGCAGCGGGGCAGACCTTCGTCCCAGCCCCGCAGGAACATCGTGGGCTGCAGAATTTCTCACGGATGGAAAGAAGGAGATGAGCCTGTCACCCAGTGGAAAGGAACCGTTCTGGATCAGGTGCCTATAAATCCCTCTCTTTATCTGGTGAAATATGATGGAATTGACTGTGTCTACGGACTGGAACTTCACAGAGATGAAAGGGTTTTGTCTCTTAAAATTCTTTCCGACAGGGTGGCATCATCTCAAGTTAGCGATGCCAACCTTGCAAATACCATAATTGGCAAAGCAGTGGAACATATGTTTGAGGGTGAGCATGGTTCTAAGGATGAATGGAGGGGGATGGTCTTAGCCCAAGCACCTATCATGAAAGCCTGGTTTTATATTACCTATGAGAAAGATCCTGTCTTGTACATGTACCAGCTTCTAGATGACTATAAAGAAGGTGACCTCCGCCTTATGCCAGAATCCAGTGAGTCTCCTCCAGCAGAGAGGGAGCCAGGAGGAGTTGTAGATGGCCTGATAGGTAAGCATGTGGAGTACACCAAAGAAGATGGCTCCAAAAGGATCGGCATGGTCATTCACCAAGTGGAAGCCAAACCCTCTGTGTATTTCATCAAGTTTGATGATGATTTCCATATCTATGTCTATGATTTGGTGAAAAAGTCCTAACTGTTAGGGTAAAATTTGCCACATTTGTGGAAACAAATGTATACTTTGTCGACACACAAAAAATGTTGCTTTTCAGTGTATTGAAAACTTGAGGGTCCCTGATAACCCAACATCTTTGCCAGCATAACTGTTGTTTTGTTCTAAAAAATACAAATTTATGTGGACATGACATGCTGTGTGTAAGCACTTTGTCTTGCTGAAAAGCTTGGGTACGTTTAGTGGATGGGGCATGAAAGGAAGGAACAGCTGTCAATTCAGCTAGAATCACAATCAGTCATCTAAAAATGGCATGGGACTTAGCTGGTCTGGTCTGGAGTTGCGGGTGTGGGGGGCGGGGGAGGAGGAACTATAGATGGACTGTGGGGGAAGGGAGAGGAGAAGATGACTGCTTAGGAAGAGGTGGGGAAGGGCCAGAAAGAGAGAAGCTCCCTGGGGGAGAGGATGACCTATGAGGAGGAAACATCCAGCTGGGAAGGGAGTGAAAAATTACAGAGGGAGAGTGAGATCCCGAGGCTTAGAGGAAAACAGACAGAATAAATTGAGTAGAGAGGGACACCAAGAAGCTTAGAAGAGGTCCAGAGTCAGGGGGAGAAAGAACACATGGGCAGGGATCTGCGGAAAGGCTAAAGGATACTAAAGAGGAGAGGCTAAAGGGAGGGTCTGTGCAGGGGTGGGGGTGGGTAGCAGAAAGGGCAGGATACTGAAGAAGGAGGACTTCAAAGAAGAAAGACTGACAGAGGGAGCGAGAATACAGAAAAAGAGATGTGGGGAGTGGGTCCCAGGAGGGATGGGAAGGCTCAGGAAAAAGTCAGACTTCTGGCAGTATCCCCGTTGCTCTCCCTGGCTCTGTGCACGAAGGAAGTGTGTCAACTGTCAAAGAAGCCAGATGCATTGGAGGTTCCCTTGAAGGGCATTTTGACAGGCATGACTCGGGCAAGTTAAACAGGAATCAAGTTTATACCTATAGGACTTTTCTTGTTTCGGGGAGTTCATGCCACACCTACCCAGCAGAACCCCAGCCCTCAGCCTAAACACATTAACACTCTAAGCACTGGGTGGTGGGTTAACTCCTCACATTTCCCAGAGGGCACAGGTGCAGTCAATCTTGGACCTGAAGGTCTTGGTTCATTTACCCTACCCCAGATTAACAACACTTGTAGAGAATGGGGTCGTGGGGGCTCTCAGAACTTAAGAGATGTGCCATCTTGGGTTTGGAAAGTATTTTATCCAGAAAAATGGAACTTACTGAAACCAGGTACAGCAGTCCCATCACTGTTCTTCCCACTGCTCAAATGTTCCTCGTCTCCCTAGAGGGGAGGGCCATCAAAGATGTCTCTCTCCAAGGCAAGGGGAGTACTCAACTATCCATGCTTCTTTCAGCAGTTGCCTGGAACCACAGGTGTCTCTAACCAGTGTTCCACCAAAAGGAGGCCCACTGCTCCCAGAAGCCCCATTCTGGATAGACCCCCCACAATGCCAGTTTCTACTGTCCTCTCACTGGTACCTCCTGGCTGATCGTGCCCACTCCAAGCTCACAGGGAGCTGGGATAGAAGTTTGTGCAGCTCTTTGTTTTCAGGTGAGGTAGATGCCATGGGGCAGTTGCACTGGGAGCTGTGACTTTATATAACTAACTGATTTGGCTGTATAGTGCATAGTGTATAGTTGTGGCTGGCGGGGAGAGGGAGTGGCAATCCCAGTAAAGTCCCTCAGAACTATGGTGTCCGGGTCTGTGTCCTTCTCTTTCTCTCCTCCTTGTCCTTCCCTGGTCCGCCTTCCTCCTGTGGTCCCTCTGAAAACCCTCTCTGGTTTCTACATCCCCACCCTTCACTAAATTATGCCCTTGTCCCCAAAGAGAGTGCTGGTGACTCCCCACTACCCAGGTTTCCATAACCACATGAATAGTGGGGGGAGGCAAGAAGCTTTCAGGAGTTGAAGGAAGGTGGCAAATCCAGTTCATTCTCTCCACCAGACATGACCTGAGGCTGATTGCCTCAAGATTTGCACAAGGCAAGCCCACCTCACCATGGCAGGGACTAATCTTTCTTTTATATATCACACAATTTAGTCCAGGAAACACCACCAGACTGCTCAGGAACCAGCTTCATTCAGCTGTCAGGTTTGGTTTGAACACTGTGTTTTTATTGTTTTCTATTTTAAATTAGGCACTTTAGACATTTGGGAGAGTTCACATGATGAAAATCCATCTTTCTGGCCTCTCCTGAAAATGAAACAGAAGAAAAAATCATGAAGATTAGGGCCCACATTCCAACAAGGATACAAGCATCTGGGTCTGACTCAGAATGCCCTCTCCAGTTGGCCACACCCCCAGCTGGCCTGTTTCACTCTAAGAAAATGCATTGTTGTCCCCTGGAAGCATTTGTGTTTGTACCCTTGAGGCTAGAGCCAGGGAAAACTGCCCCTTTTGACTTGCTTTGACTCCATTTGCCTCCCCCCCCATTTGCTTTTTAGTTTATTTGTTTTTTCTTCATCCCACAAATCCTTACTTTGGGTGCTCTCTGTTCCTATCACTCTTCTAGGTGTACATATTAATGATAGAGAAATGAACAAAAGAAACAAATAAAAAAATCTTACCCTCAGGGAGCTTTCATTTTCGTGTGGGAGACAGTAGCCAAAATAAATAAGTAGATGTAAAGTATTTTCGTAGTGACAAGTGCTAAGAAGAAAAAATAAAGGAAGGAATTGGCATGTGAAATTCCAGGGTGGAGTCTGAAATTAGATAGACAAGGTGGTCAGGGAAGGTCTCACCGAGCACTTTCCTTTTTTAAAAAATTACTGTTTATTTATTTAATTTGTGACTGGTTCTCGCTCTGCCTCCCAGGCTGGAGTGCAGTGCCTCGATCATAGCCCGAGTAGTTCCAGTGCAGCCTGGAACTGCTGAGCTCAAAGTGATCCTCCTGTATCAGCTTCTGGACTAGCTGAGATTACAGGCATGAGCCACTGCACGGGGTTAGAACTTACCTTTTGAGTAAAGATCTAAAGGCAGTGAGAGAACTGGCCATGTAGCTGTCTGAGGAAGGAGTATTCCAGGTAGAGGGACAGCAAGTGTTGAGTAGGCCTGGCATGTTCGAGGAACAGGGACAATGACAGCAAGGCTGGAGTTCAGTGAGCAAGGTAGAGAATGATAGGAGGTGATTTCAGAGAGGTAATGGGGATGGAGGAGAAGCAGATAGCTTAGAGCCCTGTAGGTATGTTCTAGAACAGAATTTGACTTTTGCACTGAATGTGTTCGGATCACATCATATGTCTTATATTTTAATGGGATCGTTATGGCAACTGGACAATAGGATTTATTGGTATAAGGTAGAAAAGGGAAGATTAATTAATAGGCCATTCCAATAATGCAGGTAGAAAGATAAGGGTCATTTAGATCAGTCTGGGGGCAGTGGGTGTGAAGAGAATTGGTTGATTTCTCCCTATATTCTTCAAGTATATCCTGCAGAATTTGCTATTAGATAGGATGTGCAATGGAACAGAAATATAGTGGGAGTCGAGGGCAACACCATGTTTTTTGCCCTGTTTTGAAGATTTCCTTAAGATAGACAAATTTACAAGGAAAGCCATAGATGACATATTTGCACTCTTACTACTCAGATTTGATGTACAGTGTTGATGATGTGAGCACTAGAGAATGAGAATCTTACCCCAAGAAATAGTGATAAAGTCTTGTTTTCATCTTTCTCTATTTAGAAAACTCCCCTAGTCCTTATGTTGGAAACTGTTGAGAAATAAACATATTATGTTTGCAATGGGGCATCAAGTACCCCAAAGAGATTTTGTTATGAAGTTTAGACAGTTAGTGAAGGATTTAATGTAATTGGCTGTTCAAAAGTTCATAGGATACAGATGGAACTTGAACTTGTACCCTGTCTGCATAAAGTACAGATGTTTATATCAAGATAGAATTGTTCAAAGTGCTTTGCCTAGGTATATCTCATTCCCCATTTTCCCAAGCCCAAGTGATATTGTCATTACTGAGGATACGTGAGTTAAAGTGGAAGAGGGTTTGGCATTAATGCTTAGTGATGTCATCACAGAGTAAATCAGTCTTGGTTTGTACAGCCATTTCTGTTCAAGAGATATGGTCAGAATCCTCGAAAATTTTTCCTATGTCATTACTGATGATAGATGCAAGGTGCCATTGTGGAATGCTAAAAGTTTTCTTTCTTCTCTTACAGATCACAGTACATCCCCTAATATCTCATGTCCTATATTTACCTTAGAGATGTGATGTTAGGTCCGAGCATACCTATAATAGTTATGCCTTCCATTACAGACTGAAATTTTGCCACAGCTCAACATAATGTTACAGTTGCGATTTTCGAGGACTAAAAATTAAACCATTCTTTCTCTTTGCAAGCTTGTAACCATTTGAGAGACAGGTACAATAATCAAACAAATGGAGGTCAAAATATTGCCTTTATAATTGATAAAAGCTGAATTGACGGACATGCTTAGATATGGGGCCACAAGGACTTCCTCATACTTCACCCAATCACAGGTAGAACTAGATAATTGTAGACCTCTCTGATAGGGACAGGCCCACAAGTCTTACCCTGTGTCTGTGAGCAAATGAGAGTGCATATTCTGGCCAAAAGAAATAAATCCAAGAGAGAAGCCAAAAAATTTCTCCCATGTCTAACTCCTCTCAAATTCACTAATTAAAGAAGTCATTGAGAGATATGAAGCCAGGAAAATAAAGGTACTATTTGATGACTAAGGGCTACACATAGTCCTTGGTAGAGAAAACAAAATGTTTTTTTTCAACTTCGTGCAGTTAATATGTTTCACAATATACCTGAGCATAATTTGCAATGGGTTATAGTTTAGAGAATATTTCCAATGCGGCTTTAATGTCCTTTTAAAAATTAATTTCAGCCAGGCGTGGTGAGCCACACCTGTAATCCTAGCTCTCTGGGAGGCTGAGGCAGGAGGATTGCTTGTGGTCAGGAATTTGAGACCAGCCTGAACAAGAACAAGACCCCATCTCTGCTATAGAAAAAAA